CTCTACAAACTCTGAGGTTCTTTACTATTCGTAAACATGTTCCTTCTGGAGTTCTTGCCAAGCCAAAAGCAATTGCCAGCTTCTCACTGTGACATGAACTGGAAGTTTCAAAGCAATCTGTGTCTGTGGAGGTAAATTCAGACACTGTGATAAGAGATCCCTCTTGCACATAACCATGCAGAGCAGCTTGATGAACAACAACCCTCACCTTTTGATAAATTTCATTAGCATCTGGATGTGACTTGTCATCCACAACAAACTTGTGAAGCTGATCACCAACTTCAATCCAGCTCCAACCAGGAGTGGTTTTCACTCCCTGGGTTTTAATCAATTTTCTCATCCTTGCAACACCATCTGCATCTTTTTCTCTAAAATAAATCGTAGCAAGAAGTACGTAGTCCCCTGCATTTGATGACCCTAGCTGGATTAGATTCCTCATAGCAATTTCTCCTATTTCTACATTTTTATGAATCTTGCAAGAGCCAAGCAGAGTCCGCCATAGGACTGGATCGTCCTGAGCACGCGAAGTCCTAATAACTTGAAGCGCCTTTTCGAGCATCCCAGCTCTGCCAAAAAGATCCACCAGGCACCCATAATGCTTAATTCCAGGTTTAATATTGAACTTGGAGCTCATCACATTGAAGTACTCAACACCCTTCTCTACCAAGCCTTGGTGACTGCATCCACATAACAAACCAAGAAATGTGATGGAATTTGGCTGCACTCCTGCCATCAGCATCTGCCCAAAAAAAGAGATTGATTCGTCCCCACGACCATGTACTCCATACCCAACAATCATGGAGTTCCATGTAAAAACATCACGATTCTGCATCCTCTCAAAGACACTAAGAGCACTATCCAAGTTGCCACATTTGGCATACATATCTATAAGTGCATTCCCAACATAAACATTTCCCACAAGCCCCTTTTCACGAGCTATTCTATGCACTGTAACTCCGGTATTCAATGCACCCAAGTGAGCACAAGAAGAGAGCAAGCC